CATCTAGAGCAATGTCACAGCACAGAAGCCCTGCGGGCGAGTCTGCCGATTTTCAGTTCTCGAGGTCGCTTGGACAGCAGAGGAAGTTCGATCTGAGGAAGAACTGGCCAGAGGACGGTTTGGTTCAGCTTGGCCTAGCACTCCTCGCTAGCTGGCGGCTGCCTCTTTGTGCATGGCCACATGGCCTCAAGCCACAAGAAGGGCAGTCCTCATGCTTGGGTCCTGTCTGTGTGCCTCATTTCTCGCTTCCGCAACATGTGATGGCAGCTCCACCAACTGCGTTTTGAAGGAATGAAGCGTGAGCTTGTCATGTTGAGCCCGTGAGCTGACATAAGTACCACTCCCATGATTCCTTGCATGTACCTCCAGGTCTGATACTATGTGAAATCCCAAATCCCAAGCCCTGCCCAGTCCAATTCGAGCGCGCAGGCGGGAGAGAAGATTCAGGAGCGCCTCCACCTCGGAAACGGTGTCTCGGCCTTTTTTCTCAGGGGTTTCAATTTTGAGCCCAATTCAGCGTCACGGCCACTCGCGATTGTGAAGTGCGGGTGGAGGCGAACAGGGCTTGGAGAGTAATTAAGCTGCAGGCCATGCGTCTACTCCGGTTGAAGACTTCGAGTGTCAGCGTGTCGGGAACGGGGCTGTCTGAGTGCTTCTGAGGCGCCTTGGCCACCATGGAGGCCATGGCCACCTTGAGTTGGGGAGCTTTGCTGCTGTCGACTCACTCTCGCAACCAGGATCCAGTAGACTCAGTAGATATGGATCACCGGGGTGGAACTTCACGAAACACGCCCTACCAAAAGGTAACAGATCTGCAATCCATCGCAAAGCGTAGAGCTGAAGGACGGCAGGTAAGCTTCAATGGTAACTCTGCAGAAAACGGAGCTCCATTGCGTCAAGCAGAGGAGCGAGTCGCAAAGACCCATGGGGTCATAGGACGAAGACGGGGGGGTGTTTCGAGGGAATCAGGGAGGGAGCTCTGAGCTCCGATTCTGTCATTGGACGCAGGGGATGCTGCAAAAGCACTACATGCACCGAGTTCCGCGAGAGGCAGATGATCTTGGCCCGGGCCTGAGTAGAGCCGAGGCCTTGGAGACAGGTAGGCTTGAGGATGTCTGAGAAGGTTATGCGAACATATTCACCCGTTTCACCTGGAAAGGGGGTCTTGGTGCCATACGAGCTGAAGGCTGCGAGAGAGGATTTGATGCAGTGCTGTTGGCTGCAAGGACCCCGCATAAACCTGACTTGGCGTTGGATCAAGAAGCACTCGCAGGCGGGGCCCGATGTGTCGGAACATGCTACTAGTACCGAATCATGGCGGTAATATTGCTGAAGCATTAGAGATATAACCACGATCAGCGGCAGCTCTTCGTGCCCTCCACCGCCCCTGCCGGTGCGGTGGTAGGGTGGTAGCCTACACCCTTGCTATGGGGTTGGGATCGCGCGGATCGCGGGTGATTCACATTTTGATGAGCTGTCTGCCTGCTTGGAACTGCCAGGACTGCCCGAAGGCCACCGGTCCCTGAGGCTACCCTCGGCGTGTTTCGGTGAGAAGCTTGTGGACACGTTTGTGTCAAGGAGGTATCCCTGGTTCAAGAACAGGGAGCGGCTTACCTCAGCACTTCGTGGAACAGGCTGCTGGAGCAGCGGCTCAGAAATCTTCGAAGCACTGGCTGCCCCAAGCTCGATGTATCGCACGAGCATAGTTAGGCTTACCGCTAAGAGAGAGAGAGAGAGAGAGAGAGAGAGAGAGAGAGAGAGAGTGTGGGTGTGTGTGTGTGTGTGCATGAAAAAGTGAGCCTAAGTAAATGCAAGTAAGCGAAGCGAATCAATGCATCGTAGTTTATCTACAAACAATAAGCAGATGCACAAATACGTAGTGAGCGAGCGAGCGAGTGAGATATTGAGTGAGTAGGCTATGTAATTAGCGAGGTCGAAAGATCGATGTAAATGTGCACAGACAGCCAGCCTGGCAGGCAGATAAAGATAGCTCGACAGATAGATTGATAGGTAGATAGACAGATCGACGGATAGGCAGATAAGTAGATGAACAGATAGACGGATAGATAGACGAATAGATAGATAGATAGGTCGGTAGATTGGTAGATAGGTAAAGCCAAAGGCAGACAGGCACAGGTACGTGGATTAGGTTAGGTTCGATTGGGTTGGAGTAGACAGGTCCAATAGGGAGGCAGAAAGAAAGATAGACAGATACAGCAAAGATAGATATTCACATTTTTCTCGCTGTTTCTCTCTCTCTCTCTGTCTCTCTCTCTCTCTCTGGCACTCTATTTCTGCCAATCTATCATTGCAACTGCATGTAACGGTAATCTGAGCTTGCAAGCGTCCATGTCTCTATGCGCACCTTTCCCAAAATCTGGGCAGGTACGCGCATGTATTATGTAATGTGATTTCTGGTATGCACTTCCGGAGCACGGCTTAGCAAATATCCTGAGTACATAGACACATCTTTGCATTCTCGACATCGGGGTCTGAAGCTCCTTTTACCATCAAGACTGGCAGAGTTAAAGCTCTGAAGACGCTGCTACCCATTAGCAGATGATGAAATCGAGTGGGGGCCACGATTTTATTGCCTGCCTCTCTCGGAGGCAATGTTAGAAGGCTTAGGCTTAGCGAGATAACTGATTTAAGCCCCGGGGGCCCGGGGCCACCGGCTCGGCAATCGTTTTGTCTACCAAACCCCGTGGCTGCACAGCCTTTGCCTCTCTCACAGGGTCTTGGCAAAGGTGGGAAGGCCCTTTTTTGCTAAAGCAAGCCTTTGAAGGAGAGCGGTTGTTGTGAGCCACGGGTTGCCAGTCAAGTGACTGAAGCGTGCACCCGTGAAGCTGGGTTTTTCGCCTGACCGATGTTTGACCAAGTGTTGGTGAAATGCTTGGCAGATGTTCGGCAGGCTCCCGGAACGCCTCTAAGCAAGTGCTACCTGCAAGCGCGTTTCCGTGACGGGCTTTGTAGGGCCCCCGATGTCCGTCGGAGTAGGATGGTGTAGGTTTGATATAGATTCAAGATGCTTGTTATTGCAGTCGACGAAAGAGCGACTGCAATGTTCCAAAAACGATGCAACGGCTGGAGTCTTGCAGCATCTGGCTATGGCACAGCCGTGACAAGAGGAAACTTCACCTCAATATCAGCCACGATTGCTGCAATTCGGCTCAGTGGGGCTGCCGGCGCATATGGCTGCTCCGCGAGGGCGCATGCCTCTGTTAGCCTGAGGAGCGCTGAAATGTTCATATCTCGGAGCAGCTGCTTCAAAGGTCGTACGACTACGATGGCGGAGGAGGAGGAAAAGCCTGTGGCAAGAGTCCTACAGGTGCAAGTTGCAGGCAGCCACCCTTAGTACCTTAGTGACTTAGGTCAAGGAGAATAAGGACCATCAGATCTTGGACACCCTTGATGCAGAGGCGGTGCGTGTGCATCCAAGCCGAACGTCAGAGCCTTCTTGGTCTGTAACTCCCATGGAAAGCCGTCCTGAGCTTGTGCTTGAGTGGGCATGGGAACCAGGTTCAAGCAGTAAGACCTTCCTCTCGTTTCAACATATTCTGCCGCAGGGAGTTTCTTTTTCATGATGTTAGATGACATTTTTTGTTGGTCGCTTGTTGCTTAAAGGTTACTCTACTGCGTTGTTGAACCTCCTGCTTGTTGTCTTCCGATGCTCGGCACGATTTGCACTTGCGCAGGGAAGCTGCTTCGGGACGCGCACGCGTGGTGCGGTGACGGAGAAAGGCTTATGGAGCCTTGGATGGATTTGCTTTCGAGTTGCGTGGGCAGCGTGTCCTGGCGGCCTTGGCCAATCGACAGAGAGCTGAGGCACAGATATGTTCATGTTTGGGTGCTGAATCTTCCTGACAGCAGCTCGCCAACACTGGGTCCCGGACTGCGGTTACGGGGGTCTCTGCTCGTCCGGCTTACTGTGTAGGCATGATATAGTGTATAGAAACTGTAGAATTTCCACGCAAATGCAGGCAGTCATGCATAGGCATAGGCCTGACAACTAGGGATGTTGCATCCTCCGGCTGAGGCAGCGTGAGATAAGACACAGAGTATGTTGATGATGTTGATATTGGGTATTGCGAACGTTGTTCATCAGACAATGGTGATATCTGGAGTATATTGATGGCAACGCATCATCACCCATCAAAGGTGCCGTCCTAATGCAGCTTCGCGCTCCAGTGTCGCGGGCGGACTTATTGAGAGTCACCAATACGTGGCACCCAAGCTCGGCAGATTTTCCTGTTGTTCTCGCGGATTCAACCGAAGTCCTGGACCTACTCAGCACGGATTTGTTTCGAGCAGGTTGCTGTGGAAGCTTGTCCAAGCTAGTCGACATTCCGACATGCCTGCTGCCTTTCAGATTGTGCCAGGAGAAGAAACGATTTGGAGGAATGTGGAGTTGCATCCCGGTTAAAATTCAAAGTGCACGTTCCGCTTTCAATTTACGAGAGATGCAGAGAGTTGAGGCACATCTGGATTTGTCATGTCTCAGCCTGAGCTTACCTGCAACTCGGCACCTCAACACCACAAGGCCCAGATTGTCTCAGTTGTGAGACTCAAAAACGTGCACCAGCCAGGATCGTGCCTGTGTGAGTGTCCACCGATGCTCGCTACGCTCCTGCAGAAATAGTTCGCTAGAAGGTTCAACCGGCAGATTTTCGTTGGGAGTCTTCTTCCGCAGAGCATGTTGAACGTAATTTGATTATCTTATCCCCTACTACCCCACCTGCTTTGCCGAGTGTGAGTGCCAAGAAAACTGGATTGTCCGAGCTCAAGCGTGCTGCTTGGAGACGTTGTTCATCAGACAGAGCCGGAGACCTCAATAAGTCCGGCTAATGCGTATTAGTCTCTCTTATTGGGCATAGACATCGACAGCAGATAATTGCAACAGTTCTAGCACGTTCCAACACTTTCCTAGAGGTGTGCAGAATGATTGACCCCTGAGAGACATTCTGCCAAGTCTCTGAACGGATTCCCTCGTCGATGGAGCGATGCTTCCCATAGGAAATGGCAAGGCGCAGGAGCTCGTGCCGCCGCAGGGCAGTCCGCTGGCGTCCAGCCCTTCTCCAAGCACCGACGATGACTTCCGTCATGCGCCGTCGGTCGGACGACAGCCCAGCGAGGCTGGTTTGCGAAGCATGGCGAGCCTCGGCTTTGCTGGCGTAATTTGCACGCTGCATCTGGTAATGCAAAGGCTACTAGTAGCAGAAATCGGAAACCCTTGCCGATGTGGGCGATGATACCACCAGCAATCCCTGTGGAACATCAATTAAGATATGGCGAACAACGGTGTGCTACATGTCAATATGGGCGGAGACATTCAAGGGGCAAACATTTTAGTAGAGTCGGCACAAAGCAAAAAGAAATGAACCGCCTGAAATCACCTTAACAACCATGTTGTGGTTGCAGAGGTAGTCAGGTGTTGACATGGCGCATAAAGCCAAGTTTTTGAGCAAACAGGCTTGAAGAATGTCCTCGCAGTGCCGCATAAGAAAATCAGGCAAAACACGGCATACGACGCAGCACTTGTACTGTAATGAAGGACGACTCCAAAGCCGACAGAAACAGAGAATGGGAATAGTTTGTTGGGACAAATGCCGCTCCGAAGTCGGGTTGCAGCGTCGCTTATACCAGCCAGAGATGTCTATTCAAACCCGTGTTATGTAGGTACAAAGGAGATGAACAAGTAGGAAAGGCGATGATATGTAGAGCAGTGAACCAGAGGGCAGGCAACTGCGGTCAAACGCCAATGACGTGTTGCCGAAAGTGGCTTTAAACAGCGTCTCATCAAAGCAAAGAGGCGGTGTCCTCTTGACATACAGATCTTGGACAAGCCCTTCAGATGCGACCAGTGCACCATGTGCCAGTGAGTATGGGGTGCGTCCATACACGGTCAGACTGTAATGCGCGAGTCGGGCAAGCGTCACCTCGTGACTGCAGGTTCTGTGGAAACATCGCCAGCAAGAAGAATCAAGCGAAAACGTAAGCAACTACTTCCGAGTTGCGAGAATAAGACATCGATTGGGACAAATTAGCTGACCGCGGCTTACGCAGCCAACGGTGAACAACGACGTGGGTTCGAGCTTGAGACTAAGCGCTGCCCTATGTCAAATTTGAATTTCTTTCGCAGCCCGAAGAACACCACCCTCAAACGGCACTGTATAACACAGGCTGCGATGTTTGCAATATGTCGGTGTTCAACAGTGCTCTCATCTTGTAGCATCTCCAAAAGTTTGAAGAACTTCTGGCATATCCTATTGGGCAAGATCCAAGATCTCATGTCGAGTCTTCTCGTGGAGCGTCCCCATCTGGAACCTTACCTTATTTTCAAATCGGCGTTCTTCTAAAATCATATTCGCGTTTTTTTCGATGGCTCTTCTTTGACCATCTTGTAGAGTTTTGCAGCCCTGCGGCAAAGTGAAATTGCTTGAGTGTGATGGCGATGATGCTGACGCTGATCCGCCTTGTTGAATGCGTGGTTGTGGTGTCGAGCGTCACATTGCAGGTTGTAAGGTGGCTGCGATGAGAAAATTAGTATCACTACAGGATTCAAGCCTCGTGTTAGTCGAACTGCTCTTTGTAGATCAGGCAGAGTGTCCAGGTTGTGGAAAAACGCTTCGCCAGAGCACGGCTATGATCGGCGATGCTAATCCACGAATCATGGATGTTGTTAGATCACGTTCTCGTGCTCGCCCACCTGCTGGGGCACCTTTGTGCCCTTTCTGGATGGTTGATCCTATACTGGACTTGTAATCGCGACGTAGGGGCGTTTGGAGATGTGGAGGCGAGTATGGGCGGCATTTCAAGAGTATAGTACTCGCTAAAGGGTTGGCTGGTCGTATTATCACCTAGGGTTTCCGAGGGTCGGTAACGGGCTCAGACATGAAGTGGTCGAAGCGTGTCGGAGCTATCTCAGATCCTAGCGACTCTAGTGGTTGGACTCGTCAGAGTATTTTCCAGCTTTAGAATTGACATCTCTCAGGAACCGGTTCCGGACGAAGACCCTGCTTATGAAGCTCGGCACGATAGTTGCTCACATGATGCTTTTGCACTTCTGGTCCTGGGGGTTGAAGCCCTCATCCTGATGATCCCGTACTCGCAAGATGTACTGTCGCGGCAGTTTGTGTGTGTGTGTGTGTGTGTCACTATGCACTGCAAGGCAAAGCCCGCATGATGCGGCACAGAATGAGGCGGAAAGGATTCTCCGCCGGCTTTGTCCCGACATGTCGCAGGCGAGGTCATTTGCAAAGTTGGGGTCCTCAGGAGGAGTTGTAGAAGATTTGAGGTGCTGATCTCTCAACTCATTCTATCTTTTCTCGCTAGCTCCACGAACTACTTTTTTTCTTGCTCTCCCTCCCTTTCTCTCCACATGGATTGAACCATAGGGAAACCCACCTGTGGAATATCGCAGCATTGGCAGGCTAGCCTTCGACACCTGCGACAGGACGGCGCAATCCACCCTAGAGTGCCCGGAGTCCTTCGGGTTTGTCTCGAACACGCATCCCGCTTGAGTGGTACAGGAGAGGATACAACAAGAACGCGACCTGGCAGCCCTTGACAAGGACAAAGCATCCCATGCGCACAAACACACGGTGGCTATAGCCAGTGTAGCACTGTTGCTCGGAGCTTTGACTTCTGTTATTTTCTTGTGCTGCATCTGGTCTACGTTGTTGAGAATCGAGATCCAAGCATCGGCCAGGAAGACTTGCAGCAGCTCGGTTTGTCGATGGTGCAGCGTGCGCGTGTGCTAAGCTGGTCCCGTGGCAAGAACTCGGGGGGATCGCAATGGCAACGAGATGCCGAAGAGGAGGATGCGCAGAAGCAGTCGCCAAAGTTCGAGTTCGAGCGTGAGCAGTCAGCATCCGAAGCGGAGGCCAGTTTTCGCCTCGATTCCGTGGAGTCGGATGGCGACTTCTGGTGCGACTTGTGGAACACCTGGAGCTTGCAGGAGGCTAGTGGCGAGTGCCCATGCATCTTCGATGCCACGCAGCTTGTCGGGCCTAGTCTTCACAACCGCCACGACGACGTCCGGGAGGATCTTTTGGAATCGCTTTTTGATTTGAGTCCCGAGCGTATCTTTGAAGTCTTCCAGGCGCACTCTTCTAGATATCACTTCCTAAAGACGGGCAGACAGCTCTCGAGTGCCTTGGCGGCTTATGGGCTTCCAGAACCAGGCAAGCCGATCCGGCAAAAGATAATATCGGCAGTTTGCCAGAACGCGGACTTGGGTCTTCAACTGCAAGAGTTTGAGGCGATCGTATCTCGAACGGTCTTGGCTCGCTTGGTGACGGGCCTGGAGCAACACTGTCAGGCCATTAAGTGCCTGAAGGTGACTGACTACAGCACACGCAGTATCGAGCCTGACATACCAAAGTCACTGCCGGAGGATCAATGCAGGCGTTTCTTCTTCGGCCACAGATCATCACAGGTCGCCCATGGGCAGTCTTCGGTGCGATGGGTGCACGTCACGGGGCTGGAACTGTCAGTGGTGTTGGCTTTGGCTGTGAAGTACAGCTTGCACCCCCTCGCAGTTGAGGATACCATTCAGCAGAACCCTTGCAAGATTGATCGGTATGGCGACCACTACTTTGGCACCATCGAGCGCATATCCTTGACCCATCAACGAAAGGAGCATGGACCAGTGGAGGTCCTGGGACATCACGTGTCTTTTTTCTGCTCTGGCGCTCCTAATATGGACACGGTCATCACCGTTTGTCAGGAAGATCAGTCTTTCGAGAAGGAGTGGCCTCATGCGGGCAGCACCTTAGTGTCTACGACGCTACAAAGGCCCGAGCTGAAGCTTATGAAGATCGAGAAGCGGCTGCGACAGCCCATGTCGCGGCTGCGAGAGCGCCGGGCGAACTTCTTCGTGCATGCAGTGCTGGATATCTGCGCTGACGAAATCAGTGACGTAGTGCGTGCTTTTGGCAACCGGCTGCAAGTCCTCGAACAGGATGCCAGCCAATCGAACAGGGTCGATTCGGCGGGCGAGGAGGCGGCAACCATCCGCACGCAGCTGGCTCTTGTAGATCGCCGTGCCAAAAGCCTCCAGAGAGTCGTCCGGCGGCTCCTCTCCGACGAAGATTTCTCCGAAGGCCAATTCTTGGACAGTAAGCAATAGGCCGATAGGCTCTTGCCTTGAGTGCGCTAGCTAACAATATCACAGTACGCAGGGATGTTCAGCTACCTCAGCGATGTGGTGGACCACTTGGAAGAGGCACGAGATGACTCGGGCCGCCTGGCCGAAAAGTGCATGGGCACCTTGGAAGCAATGGCGCGAAACAGCTGTACGGCTTTTAAGGTGGATGGTTTACTTTAAGATGTGCGGCTGAAACTTTTTTCGTCAGCACATGCTCTCTCTCTCTCTCTCTCTCTCTCTCGCTCGCTCTCTCTCTCTCTCTCTCTGTCTCTCTCTCTCTCTCTTTCTCTCTCTGTCTCGCTCTCTCTCTCTCTCTCTCTCTCTCTCTCTCTCTCTCTCTCTCTCGCTCTCTCTCTCTCTCTCTCTCGTCTCTCATCTTCGTGGTAGCTTTTCGCCAAAGTCCTGCGTTGAAGTGGCTGGGTTCAAGTGGACTTACATCGACTAAGGCATCCAGCAAATGCACGATCGCTTGGCCGAGCAAGAGCAAGACCAGCTGCTGAGGGATCAGGAGCTGCTGCGAGCCCAGCAAGCAGATCGCCTGAACAACATCCTCTTCGTGTGCACCCCAGCCTCGGCGAAGAGCAGACATCCTGAGCTTGGCCACGAAATGGGCCCCTTCCATGCAGCTTAGGTTCTCACTTTGGTCACCACCATCTTTTGTCCGGCTCAATTTCTGTGCGGCGTTTATGGCATGAACTTTGTGGATGATGCTGGCCGCCCTGCAATCCCCGAGCTGCTCTGGAAGAATGGCTACCTCTACTTTTGGCTGCTCATCGTGGGCTACCTGAGCCGTGGCGGGATGTGGTAGGGGTCTGCTTGCTTGGGGAGAGGGAGCCGAGTCACGAAGCATCGTCCCGTTCCGGCATCGCAGAGACGCGATTGTCCCGCAAGGATCGTGGCTTTCGTCTCCGCGGCACATCTGTATCGCCGCTCGTATGAGGGAAGGACGGGTGGGCATTGCATTCTGCCAAGCAAGTGGCGGAAGTACGGCTGGAGTTGCATCTTCGTAGGTTCTGACGTTTGATGACTTGGTGCTGAGGCTTCTTCAAGTCCGTCGATGCGAAAGCCATCGATGCCGACTCTGTCAGTGCTGAGCAACAGCGAAGCCATCACACCGTGGGACTCAGGAGGCGGAGGCCCGCAATCACTGGTCAGTATCGATCAGCATCCCCCTGGTGCATGACCGCATCTGTAGCGGTGTGCAACCTACTGCAGAACGCTAGGAGGCCGAGGCAGCAGGCTCCCGGCTCCCGCTTGCAGGCAATACCACTCCCTCAGCTCCATGAGTCTCTTGGATGGTCCTGACCCGGAAGTTCCAGAAGGCGCCATCGCTCCTCAGCCGTTCCCAGAGGCCAGATGAGAAACACTCTCTGCAGGTGCTCCACATCCGCTTTGAGGGCGTCGGCTTCGGGAAGCTGTTTTCGACCGGCCTGGAACAAGTCTGCGTTCCTTTAGCTCCTGTATGTTTTCCCTTGCAGACAGTATTTCAGTTTGATAACGGAATGGCACATCGGACACGCCTCAGTGTGCGACACACCCACGATGCCAAAGCATTGCATCGGTTAATGACATCTGTTGCGCGACTGGTTTCGGGAAGACGAACTCAATGCTGGCCCCTCTTGGAACAATGTCTTTTGATTCTTTTGCATCGTAGATAGCCAGCTTGAGTTTGAGAGAGTTGTCCCGGATAAGAGCGAGGCCCACCCTTGCCTTGCAAGGTTGTCCCTGAAAAATGCTTGCACCGGGTGGCTGTGCTCACCGCTGCCAGCTCGAAGAGACATTCGATGAAATGAGAAAAGTGCAGTGTCTGCCATTCGGGTGTGGGGGGGGGCGGGCCCTGTCTCAAGCCTGAATGTGGATACTGCTTTTCAAGAGTCCTGAGGTCAGGGATGCCTTCGTTGGAAGCTTGTGCCCTGGCAAAAAGGAGGAGTTCAGAGACCAGGAGGGGGACAGATGCGGCTTCTGCGTCTTGCGGGAGACACTGGAACTCTCCAAGGCAAGAAGCACCTGGACACTGAGTCAGAAATGCAGTTCGAGGATCACATGTACGAATTTGTTTGCAGCTCCTTGCTCTGCACCTATTTCCCCTTCCCGCTGATCGTCATAGATGTTTTGCGTGAAGCTCGTGCAGCCTGTTTGCTACATTGCTTTGTGCCTTCCGCCTGTCCTTATCTCGTGGATTACAGCCAGTTCAGGGTTATGGAAAGTCAATGCGCGCGATGCAGACCTCCCAGGTTGTAAAGAAATCTCCGAATACAAGGGCGAAGCACTGCGGCAATGGCTCCTTGGTCGACGAAGCTGACAGTAGTTTCCCAGTTTATCATCTTGACTTCTGGTGGTGTCGGGCTCGCTCTGCTCGAGATCCCTCGCTGTCTGATCATGTGTGGTCCAGCGCGTGCTCTGCATCCCAGGGTCTTTGGTCTTCCAGAATAAACTTTGCAAAGCCTGCTTTTACTCCAGGGTGCTTCTACTCCAGTGGGCTCGTCTCCACCGCAAGCGCATGCCCGCGGACCCATGCAACCAAGGATAGATGTTTATGTTGTCTCTCTGCCCCTTCGCTGCAGTTCGGCTGTGGAGCTTGTGTTGGGCAGTCGTGGCTGCAAATCTGACCGCGCAAGAAGTCATCCCGTAGTCCTCTAGCATGTTCACCAACCGTTAGTACTCCGAGGTACTAGTACTGTACCTGTTCGTAGATGCACTGGTTAAATGACCTGACTTGACTGTCCCGCTTATGAAACGCAGTGTCCTGGAGCGTGCAGCCGTTGTTGCAAGTGCCAGGAAGAACCCTCCGGAGCTTCACAAAATCTTTTATGCCCGGGGCTCAGCAGCAGCATACAGCGTTGGGTCGGTCCACGTTTGAAATCTCTTTGCCAACATCATAGGGCAATGAAAAAAAGCTGAACTGTCCCAAGTACAGCAATCAGTTGAACATGGTCACCGAGCTTTACGAAATCACGAGCGATTGTGGCCAGCAACTCTTGTGGAGCTCTGTACTGTGACCTATCGGGTCAGTGTCACTGGCACATCAGCAGTTTGTCCTCTCTTCTGCGACGTGCCCGATGTAGCATGATGGTTTTTAGCAGTCCCTACTTCAGTTTGTTCGGCGCAGCGTCAGGACATCAAAGAAGCAACGGAGCTGAAGTACGTAGGCGCGGCACGACTCGACGAAACACTCTGGATTGATTTGGTCGATCTCATGCTGAGTTCCGTGATCCCAGGGCAGCCATGTCCTTCAACACGGATGGATGGGTTCTGGGTTTTGGGTTCTGATGTCTTCATGGGCTGCTCTCCCTGGAGGTGTTGGGGAGCTGGAGCAGGCCTACCAAAGTCAGCCCGGCCCCGATCGAAACGCAGGCTGAACAGTCCTCCGTGCTTTAGAGCGTAAACTCCCACCCAAGGGATCCGAGCTTCGTGCGAGTCGCAGCCCCGGAGTATGCGCCCGGCCCTCATTTGGGCTCGCGGACTTTGTGAAGGGGTATTGAGACGAGCGGCACTGACGAGCGGCCTGCCGTAAAGCACAAGAATTGCTTGGGGTCTTTCCTGTGCTAGGAGGAGGCTATTCCACTTCCTGCACAAAAAGATCCGTGTCTACCTGGATATGTTGCCCAAAGTGGACTCCGACGAGGACAGTTGCCTCAACGTTTTGCATTTGCCAGCTCCGAAAGCTAGCTACTGCCAGGAGCGGCACAACAAAAAGGGCCAGCAGCTGCTGGATAGGATTGGAGACGTCTCCATGTTGAGCAGGGCGCAGGATCTCAATGCCGCCTGTCGTGTTCAGGGGGCATGGAAAAAAGGCCTGTTGATTGCAGCTGCCACATAGTGTCAGTTGGTGACCAGGTAATCGTGGACCCATGCAGAAGAAACGAAGCATACAATGAGCTGCCGGGTCTGCACAAGTTGCCGACATTTTGTGGTATCATGAATGCCTGAAAGCCTGTACCAGACAGTTTGCTTGCAGGTGTGAACTGTGTGAATGCAGCTTCACTTTGTCTGAGGAGCGTGTGGCATCGTGCCGTTCATGCTACCTGGCCACAGTGGCTTGTGTAGTCTGCAGAGAAGTAGGGCCCAAGGGCAGCTTGCCGGACTCTAAACTCCAAACCTGTGCTCGCCTGCCCTGGCTTGCAGTGCGACCAAATACCAGTCTGGGGGGGCAGAGCGAACTTCAGGTTTGGGTCTTTGACATAGAAGGCGGCCGCTTTCTCATCCAGCTTCTCGGTCATGAGCAGATTGCACAAGTGTTGGTGCATCATTACTCACGGCTTGGGTCACCTGACGTGAACATCAGTGCCCTAGAGTGATAGCTGAAATCTGCAGAATCCCTCGCTTGTTTCGTCATGCTTCAGAACCGACAGCTGTTGAAACACAGCAAACAATGCTGACCGGAAACGTGCGTCAGACTTGATTCGACTTGATGTGATTATATGCCGCGGCCTCCCCTAGTGGTACTATGTGGTACTGGTACTCCCGTGCTTAGAGTGGCAAAGACCCGGCACAGTTTCAAGGCAACGCTCGCCGAAGAAGCGACACTTCGGTGGCAAGTGGAACTGCTCCACGGGCCACATTAAAATGGGCCTCTTGAATGCATAGTCCTGCCTGAGAGGGAATGGAACCGGAGCTCCGTGTTTCATCCAATGCTTTGCACATGAGTAAGGCGATCCGGCTTTGCCGACGGCCATGAAATCCGCAACTCTTCCCAGATTCGTTCATAGTTTCAGGGTCAGGATTGGTGCACAAGCGACTTTGCCTGTCCTGCAAGCCACCAGCCCCGGATCCTCACAGAAGATCTTGCCAGGTGAAGGACGATGTTGGCATTCAGGACGTTGAAGAGGCAGACTTCGAATACCTGTTCCAGGCAACCGCTGGTGCTGGTGGGTGCGGCGACAACGTGTGTTGGTGCAACTGCTCCATGATTTGGCCTTTTCGACTTTACGAAGCTCATTCGGACCACAGCGGCCGCCGGTCTTGCTGCAAACCATGTCTAAACAGGTCTTTTCTGTTCAATCTTTGCCTGCGGCAGGGTTCCAATTCTGTTGTGTCGTCGTGCCTGGTGCTCGCTGGGCCATGGTGTGACTGGGAAGTGCTCGATTCGCTCTCTCTTCCAGCTGGCCCACGATTTTCAGGACGCTTGGTGTACGCTGATGGGTGTTGACTCCAGTAGCAGCCACAGCCACTGTGGGAGCAGCGTAGTCGCTTCACTTTCAACAAACCCGCTCGACTTGTTGTACGTGTGTGGGGTCCTAGAGCTCCTTGATTCAATTCACCCAGGCATGAATGAGGCACGCGCGATGCTCGATGCCCTCATGGGCCCTCAGCGAGACATCCGTGCCTTGGGCTTTCGTGATCGGGTCAAGCCAGGTACCAAGCATCAACAACTTCAGTAAGACGTTGCTGGTTGCTACTTGCATCCTCTGCCGAGCCATAATAACGCGTGACACTTGTGCATATGTGTCTCTGGCCCCCATTGCTTGTGAGGCAAAAAAGGCAAACACTTGTCAGATGACTGGAAAGACAAGACTGCCATGGTCCTAGCTGGGATGCTTTGGGGACCCCGTCGGCCTGCACGCGTTTTACACTTCATGGTCAAGTCTTGTGCGTTGACGGGCCCGACGCCTGCTTGTGGCCATCCAAGGTTTGCAAGAGCTTTTTGGTTGGATTGTGCCCCTACGACAAGGCTCCCATCTGAGCTGGCACAGCCCCCTCTCTCACCTCAGCAAGTCCTCGTGCTGTCTGGGGTCTTCTTTTTCTTTTATTTTAGTTGGTTTTTAACAGGGCCGTATCGTCGGGGTTACTGGTAGAGGATGTTGTAAGGCAAAGGCGCAGGAAATCTTAGAAGGCAAGCATTGAACATCACATACTCTTTTCCGACATCACATACTCTTTTCCGTAGAGGCTTGAGGTCCAGACTTTGACAGTCGATGTTCTGAGATTCAGAGTCGATCCAGACGTTTCTCATGTAAGGCCGTGCTGGGTGGAATCCAGAAGCGCGACTTGAAGGTTTGCCCGAAAATCCATTCCGACATCATTCGAGCAGCTTGTCTCGCCGGCAGTTGGCTCCACAAATTCAATTTGCTGTGTCACCGCTTCAATACTACTAGGTCCTGAGCCGACCAGGAAGTCTCCAGCAGATCGACATGTGGCTTTAATGCACTCGCTGCCATGAGGACAGGTTTCTTCAGCATGCAGATGGTGCGGAGCAGAGTGAGATTCGACTCGAATATGCCGCCTGGGCACGAAGAAGTCTGTTTGTGCCAGCCTTGGAAGTTACGAGACAGGTTCTCTCCTGTGCTATTGCCCAAGTCTGCAAACTCCCACATCTGTGGCAACTTTGCTTAGTGCCGTGCGACCAGTTTCGCAAGCCTAGCTTCAGCTCAAAGCGGGGAGGGCAAGCAACAGTGGCACAGGAGGACGAGTGCTTCAGTCAGTGCGAAGAGATCCTGGCCGAGCCTTGGACTGCCATGGCATCTTGCTACTTGTACGGCTGTCATGATGAGTTCGGTGATGCCTCCTTGCAGAATGATTCACCAAGCCGCCAATCGGCCACCTCGACGCCGAAGGCCCAAAGCCTTTCGAGTTCCCCAAGCGTCGCAAGCTCTGAACCACTCTGAGCCCTAAGCCCCTAAGCTCGGGTGCTCAGGAGTGTGAGAGCTTCGGCCAGAAAGAGCTGGAGCGGCTGAAGGAAGACCCCAGGCGGCATGCTCTGCCAGAGGAGGTGAAGGAGAAGCTCAAGGGAATGAAGGATGAGGCACCGGGGAGGCATAGTTTCCCGAGCTTCGATGAACGATTTGGAGAGTAGTAAAGCGGCCGGTTTACTCCAAATTCATGTGCCAGTTCGTTCGATGTGCAGTGTAATGTGTCAGGTGGACATAGGCGCCAACGAGCCGAAGTAGTTGCAAACAGAAGGATAACATGAAGCTGCCAGATGTAGGCGACGAAAACTCGAACTTGCCTCACATGTCCATGGGCTATCATGGGCTCATTCATGGGTGCCTTGCTTGGTCGATGAGTGCTGAAGGATGACAGGCCGCCCATGCTGTGGCAAATTCGAACCCGCACACAACGGTGTGCTGAGATCGAGTGTCGTCTCGCACGTAGCATGCAACAGCAGTCATTGCCATGATGTAGCTTAGCAGCAACCAAACGAATCCTCGTGTTGAGAGCCCGGCGAGCGCGAGTGTGGACTTGCTCCGGCAGCGCATTCTTCTTTGTCGTCTCTTGGAGGGAGGAGTCCTTATGGAGATTGTTTATGAAGTGGCCATTGAAGCCAGTGTGGTAGTTGTCGAAGGAACAACCAGAGCATTGGATTAGCGGCGGAATTTTTATTCTTATTGGTGGTGCTGGTGCTGGAACGGAAACTCAGCAAGAAGTGCTTCTGATCCAGCATACTTTGCACAGGCAGCTTTCAACCTGAAGCGAGCTGAAGACCTGGATGTACGACGCTCGGATAGTGGGCTTGATATGAGTAGCTGCAATCCCGGCGGTGCGACAGAAATTCAGAAGCTGCAGCCACTGGAGGCAATGGCACTAACCACTGGCGGGTACAACAACATGTCGACACCTGGCTTGCAGAGTGCACATGAGTCAGCGCTTGCATCTTGAAGATTCGAGTGAATTTAGCGTTCGTTTCTCGTTTCGTCCGGGTGTCTTGGGTAAAGTGGTTACGCCCAGCCACATGGTTACATGTTCAAAGGAGCTGAATGCCTTCGGTGGTTTCCTCCATAGGGTTCCCCGGCTGAGATCAACACTCCGTCGGCAAGTTCGAGAACTGAATGCAGAAGCTGAATCTTTGCGAAAGCTTGAGTTGCGACTTGGCAGCAAGCAAGCAGAGTCTCTCAGGCTTTCTTTAGATCGAATCCGCTGCCGCTGGGGGGACCACGAAGTCTGTCAGCTTGTGCGTGCTTGCGTTGTCAATATAGAAACTTCTGCCGAGGCGAAAAACTGCAGAGAAGCTGAAGCCACAGGTCTGCGAGGTGTGCGGAACGGGCTACCTCGACCAGGAAGAGTTCGAAACGCACTTGAACTTTCGAGTGCATGAAGGTGCTTCTTGCACTGATCTGAAAGGGGCGGCCTTTCAACATGTTGCTCCATTTCTCATTCGTTCCACAGGCTACAAGCAGGTTCGCGACAAGTTCGAGGCGCTCGAGAAAAAGCGGGCGCAACGGCCCCACAAGTCCAAGGCACCTCCACGAGTCTCTGCAGGGGTCTCCTGGCTTCGATTCGCTGACGTAGGCCCGGACATCGAGTCAGCCGAGCACGACACGAGATGCCCCAAAGCAAGTCCCTCGACTGAGAACTGCAGTTCAGACCGGTTTGATCGCGGCTCGTCCGGTCATGTATGGGGATGGTGGAATTGCCATTAATGTTTTGCTGCTGTGGTGATACAAGCATGAGAACACGGGAGGGTTCATGGAGAGCACCAGCAAGAAAAGAAAACACATGCAACCATACTACTCCCCTCATCCGTTTACATTCTCCCCCCCCAATATAAAGAAGTATTTTGGGCCTTCAACTTCTTCCCTTGGGGGGATCTCGGGTGGTTCAGGCTTCACTTTTCAGGGATTTTCCGAAACTCGCGGAAATTCGAGTCTAGAATTTGGAATTCCCAGGCAAGGGTGGGCGTCTAACGAAAAGCACGGGATCCGGAATTCGAGGAACTCCCAGGCTAGGGAGAGTAATTGCTGTCTCGAATCCGGAACTCCCAGGCTAGGCAGCAATTGCTGACTGATTTACTGGCCTCCATGCGACCCTAGCCTGGGACCAAATTCTAGACGGCTAGACCCTGAAATTCCATGAAATTCCCACATCCGGACTCCCTCGGACACCCCATTCCAATCCTCCATGCCGCCCGTCCAAATTCTCCATGCGACCCCAGCCTGGTGGGTGATGGCCATAATTCACTTTTGATAAATTTCATGTTTTTTCCGGCCGGGGAATTCTTCATATTTAGGTCGGTTTAACGGATGAAGGGGCTATACTAATCACATGCGAGTATGCACCAAGCCCCCGGAAGTTCCACCTAGGTTTAGCTCGGGACTGAGGGCTTTTGAATGACGAACACTGAAAAAGTCAATCTTGCCTTACTATATCAAGACAAGATTCCAGAACACATTACAGCATTTATTCGATGTTCTGCAGAAGAGGCTAACCGTGGTGGTCGCATACCTACGTCTGGTCTTATGCCCTTTGCAGCGGGACCCGCCCCACAGTGCAGAAAGTGTGCAGCGACGCGTGTGCAAGAATCCAGCCTCTCTCTGTGCAGCAGTCGAAAGTAAGTTGGGTTTACGCTCTCGCAACTCGGACACAGCCAGACGAGGTTCTTGGTTCGCAGCGTCGTACTAGTGACACCCAGTAAGTTGGGTTTAGGGATTGGGGCTTATGTCATCAAGGAAGAATGAAGGCTCCTATTGGTTCAGGTTCGTCCATTGCAGTCTTTCGTCTCGTGCTGCGGCGAAGCGGTTCAAGCATTCCCATAGTGCCAGTCGCCAACTGTTTCTACTCGTAGGATGCTTCATGTTTGGAGACCATCTGGGCAAGAGCTGGCCGACCTAGACGCCGAGGAGTTCAAGGATGTAGCGGCTTTGAAACGGCATTTGCGTGAAGTACATGGTTTCCCTGTGTATTTGCAGCAACTTCTGCATGATGGCAGCATCTTAGATGATGACACAAAGCTGGCTGCCCCCATGGACTTGCAGCTAGTGCTGCTGACCTTTTCCGGCCTTTCATCAATCAGCAGCACCATAGCTTCGGCTGAAAAAGACCTCGAAGAAGCTGTTAAACAGAACCACGTTAAGACTGTCAGATGCTTACTCGAAGCCGGTCTTTTTCGAGATAAGAAGCGGCCGTATTTTGGATGCAGCAGCCTGCTGCTGGCATCTCGGAAAGGCCTTTCGGAGGTTGTAGGATTGCTGCTGGAAGCTGGAGCATCTCCAAATTTTCGAGGTAGCGCCCTAATGCTTGCATCTGAGTTTGGCCACTTCGAGGTTGCACGCTTGCTGCTGGAAGCCAAAGCTACGACGACGTGCGTATGCAGCGAATTCGGCAGGACATCCCTAATGCTTGCATCCTGCGCGGGTCGTTCAAAGGTTGTGCGATTGCTATTGGAAGCTGGTGCTGACAAAGATCGCGCCGACAAGGGCGGCAAAACAGCACTCATGCTCGCATGTTGGTGTGATCGCTTGGAGGTTGCACGTTTACTGTTGGAAGCTGGTGCTTACAAAGATTGCCGGGATCGGCACGGCAACACTGCTCTGATCCTGGCATCTGAGAGTGGTTATTTTGAGGTTGCACGCTTGCTTGTGGAGACTGGTGCTGATAAAGATTGTACAGACCATTGCAGCCAAACAGCCCTAATGCTGGCATCTCATCGCGGTCACTTAGAGGTTGCACACTTGCTTGTGAAAGCTGGTGCTGCCAAAGATTGCAGTGACAAGAGCGGCAGAACAGCTCTAATGCGTGCATCTCAGAGCGGTTATTTGGACGTTGCCCGTTTGCTTGTGGAAGCTGGCGCTGACAAAGACTGCTGGAGCCGGGTCGGGCGGACAGCCCTAATGTATGCGTCTCAGTATGGTCATTTGCAGATTGCACACTTGCTGTTGGAAGCTGGTGCTGAAAAAGACTGCACAGACGATGACAGCAAGACGGCACTCATGCTCGCATCTGATTAGGGTTACATGGAGGTTGCACGGCTTCTGGCAAAGGCTCGGCCAAGACCATAAAAGCATGACATCTCGATGGCACCTCGGAGTTGTCACCCGGAGTGCACAAATTCGCTTGAACTCTGTTGGCGAAGAATATCGAAGATTGCGGCGGAGTCCGCTATGCACGTGCAAAGTGCAACGGCTGAGTTCTTCACATGGGTAGGGGCACAGCGCAGGCGCCACAGTTCCCTAATGCGCCAATTTCTGTTTAAAATGTGGGGCCCCGGCCTGAATAATCACCAATCCTCTCTGGGGGCTCCATATAGGAGTTTCCGAAAATAGGGGACCCTAATATAGTTCCTACCCTGGATTGTAGGATCCTTATTATAAGGACCCCAAAATAAGGTACCCCTAATTTTCGGAAACTCCCATATTCTACATATACTACTCGTCCTTTGTCTAGGGTGTATGGGGGCTTCAGGGCCAGGGATCAGGGTTTCGGGTTTGGTACTTCTCCAGCTCTGGGGCTTGTGGGAGAGTGTGTTTGGGCCTCCTGAGGCATATGGGTGCGTATATGTTTGTGGTGTTAACGCAGCGGATTGGTCGTTATGGGCCCAAGGGGCCCATAACAAGGATCTGGTGTTTGCAAAGGTTCGTTTCTTTCGTTGGGCACTCGGAAACTGCAGCTTCAGTATGTTCAGCTGAACCACACCGAACCTGCGTGTATCGCGAATTCGGCGTCTGCACATCCAGCACTGCGGAAGCAACGGAGCCCAGGATCACCGCAAGACTTCGGAGCTCGAGGAAGGATTCCGGCCGGCTGCGGAACGCCACAAGGCAGACAAAGACGAGGAGGCCCAGAGAAATTCACTGAGGTCTCCGACTTTACAAGCAGTTTGCACTCTGGTGCACCTGTGAATTTCGGAAGGAAAAGCCCAAGCCTCGACAAATCAGCCATGTGGATAACACCGTTGACGACTCTTGGCTGGATCATGCCACGGAAGAGAGTTTATCTTTAACGTTAACGCATGGCTGCCCTCAGGCGAATGATCGTCGGAAGAGACGGAGGCGAACTACCAGCCGCAGCAGATATGATCGCAGGGATAGTGGCCTGCCACAAAAGATGGTTGTGTTTGTTGTTGTTGTCGCTGCTGCTGCTGGTGGTGTTGGTGTTGTTGTGGTTGTCGTTGTCGGTGTCATTGTGGTTGTGTGTGGTATACAGTAGCGGCAAGCGTAGAGGCAATTTTTGCGGTTGGTTTATAACACATGACAACAGCCAATTCAGGAGTTCTCCGGAGACCAGCCGCTTTGCAGCATCTACTGTACGTGTACTTTTGATGCGGATCATCGACGGAGCAGTCCAAGACCAGTTCAGGGCTGTGTTGGGTTATGTTGCCCTCATGTTCAGCATATGATTCGTGCTGTGAGTGTCCTTGTTGTTGTGTCATGTTGTGTCCGAGGATCTGGATGTGCCTTTAGAGACCCTTCGGACAGTACAGTACTGCTCCCTTTCGCACGAGTGATGACAGGGACGACGGCGGGATTCGGTTGACTACACCGACTACGACGACGACTATGAGGATGACTATGGCAATGGCAGGACAGACCCTGCTTGGTGCGTGATGAATCTCGTTCCCCACGGATTCCTAAGGTGTTCAACTGCACCCGTAGTTACAGCAATTGAGACGACTTAGGATTCGTGGACATTGTAGTCGAAGGCCATGAGGGTTGCGCATTGCTTATGTTCCGCCTTGGTTTGTGTTTACAAATCGTGGCATAATGTGGTGCCAAGAAGCAGCAAGAGCCACAGCTGAGCTCTTCGTCATGAGATACAGTATTATGAAAGTTCTTTGGCGGTCGGGCGCCTGCAACTTCTGGCCGTAGCTGCCCTGTAAAGTAACACTGAGTTTCGGGGGCATTCCCGTGATGAAGGAGATGGAGAGTGACCTCGTGATACCCATGCATTCTCATGCAACGTTCCTCTTTCCGAACTAAGTAGCTACGTCTCCTGAGAATTTTGGACGTAGACGGAAGCAAGCCAAGAGAATGGCCGCAAACACAGCGAACACCGCATGCATAATTAAGTGACAGTACTTCGATGCTTCTGGTTCTGTCAGCTGAGCAGCTGCTACATCTCCGCAACAGTTGTGATTCTTTCTGCCCCTTGTACAGCGGTAAGCTACAAGCAAGCTTTGCAAAATGTTTTGCACAAACGTACGTACTCAGAAGGGGTCAGGACGCTTGGATTCTCGGACATGCATAACGAAACAGCAGATTCATGCCCGTCTATGGCAGCTTGTCTTCTGCTCGTATCAAAAAGCTCGTCAACACTCGGCAGGGTGGAGCGTCATGAGAGACGACACCGGCCCATGCGATCTCGGGGTCAGCGACTTGTCTTGATCGGAATGCAGTTACGCAAACCTTACGGAGATGGTTCCTTCGGCAAGGTTCATGCTTCTTTCCCATTTGTTCCATTTGTTGACGTGGCGGCAATGCAGAAGAAGACAAAAACGGTTCGAGATGCCAGTTATGCAGGTTACAACGGCTTGTCGAAACCGTATTCCCCGTGCCATTCACCAATTTCATGCCGTGCAAAAGCACAGAGCCGGACCGAACCTTTCCTAGATGCAGCGTTGAGTGCTTCGTCCTACAACCACATTGGATGACAAGATCGTGTGATGTAGGGGCCTGGGGCCCTAGGGGGCTGGAGATGCAAAAGCTGCGCAAAGCAACAACGGCCGGAAGGACAAGAGGAGTCTCCTCCATTTGGACTTTTGTTCGCATTTGAGGCATCGCCATCGAGAACTTCGCCATCTCCCGAGCAGGTCGCGCAGACACCGACGCCACTAGGAACGATAACCTCTGGACTTCGCAGCATGAAGTGCTGGCCACGCTGGAAAAGGTGCCCCTCGTGCCAGCATTGGGTAGGCAGATCACAGCGGTTCAAGACTGACAGAGCCGGCAGTGGCATTGTCTAGTCTTTCTGAGGCCTTGCAATGCCTCCGGCGCGCCGTCTTCCTCATGAACATGGTGCAATCTGACGCTGAAGATCTCGCGGTCGGCGCTGGTGCACGAGAGATGGCTCCTGGCTGGCTCTTTGTGGATATGGCCCTCGTACCGCACTCCTGAGATCGATCCTCAGGGTCAGCGGAACGCCGTGGGCATAGAGCGAGCGAAAAGTGAGCGAAAGCTTGTTTCTGTCTTCTTAGCTGTTCACTTTGCCCTGCAGTCTTGGAAATTGTAACGTGTCCGCCCTCACTTTGTTCGGAGATGTAAGCATGTTTTTCATGTGTATGTAATTTTCAAGCGTGTGCACACGTACAGATGCACGCATGCATATGTGTGTATACACATAATATTATGCATACCCATACTGTCATTATTAGTATATAATTGTAAATGTATACATGTATATGTGTATGTCTAAGTCTGTGTATATCTATATGTAAGCAACTAACACAGTAAAAATGCCAATGAGTTGAAACATAAACAAATATAAAAATAGGGTATGGGTATAATTATATGTCCATATACATATACACACACGGTACGCTGGAGACATAGCCCTGAGCTGCGCAAGAGCTCTGAGAGACCCAGCAGACGAAGTTGTCCCATCCCTGACAGGCGTTGGTTGAAATGGACACCGGCGGCGGATGCTTTCTAAAGCAGGTTGTGGATGTATATTTGCTTCCTGGCAGCCTGGGAAGGCTTCAATATCTGCCTCGTTGACCCATGGTGAGCCTAGGTTCAGAGTTCCGAATGAGGCGGCTTAGCTGAACCGAGCCTGCGGGAAAGCACCTTGCACTCGCTTGGCGTGTGGTTTTTCCTCAGGGAAGCTGCCCGGAGGTGCCTGACATCGGGCACCTTGATTTGAACGGGATTCCCGAACTTAGCCGCAACTTCACCCTGCAACCGTCGAACCTGCAACTGTGACAGCTGACCTGCTGACTGAGAGTGGGCAGGGCAAGCCTGGACGGATTCTGTAGCAGATCTGCTTTGTCCCTTCGAATTCTAAGCAGAACTTGTGTAGTTTCTGCAGCTTTGTCCCAAGTTTCAGACGGACCACTGACGAGACTGAGGGGAGTTCCGCCGGGCTTAAGGCAGGGCAGGGTGCAGGGCAGCCCAAAGATCAGGCCTAAGCGCAGTCCAGCCCAGGGCAGGTCCAGCGCACAGTAGCGTCGAAACTCACCCTTTGCCCAAGTTCCTGCGGCATCGTGCCGCGAGCCAAGGAGCTTGTCGCTTGCCAAAGGGGAGGTCGACAATGTCATGTACATTGAAATCGACAGGCCTGGGTTGTGTAGATTCCAGGACATGGGGCACGTTGTGCAGAAAGCGCCTTAGAGGCTTGAAGAGATCTGGCATGCTTCTCCGCCGAGCCCCGAGTTCGTGGTGCGAGCCCTGGGGGGTGTTCGATCTTGCGCCCATGTTCTTTGTTTGAATAATCTGGCCGGAAGCATGGCGTCGAAACAGGCGCTGGGTTTTGGATTAATCCTAGAAATCCAAAACCGGTGAAACTGGTGCAACCCTTGGTGTGTCGGCGTCGATTCTGGTGTTGGCTGTCTAGATTACGCCGTCTCGGTTCATGTGTGTTTTGCGTCCATGCACCTTGACTACATGCCGGGCCCCTGGGAAAATCCGCCCTGAGCGCCGAGGTGTAACTGTAACAGCAGGTTTGCACAGTTTGCACGGAAGAGGAAGAGGCTGATGCTGCAAGTGCAAGCATTTGCAACGAGTCTTGCCAGCAACTTCGGTCATCGGGCGTGCACCAAGAGGCATAAACAGAAACGTTGCTGCTCCGAAGTTCAGCCCCGAGTCTGTGCCAGAAACTTTGGCCATCGCAAAATTCGAACTTACCAATAAAGGTCATGTGACGGGCTTTTGTAGCCTTTATGGGTTCCACTCCGAGTTCAAAGCTGACCAAGAAAGACAGCGCGCACCGGCACTGCATGTTCTTGACTGGAAAGTTGTCGGGACATTCGTAATTCTCGACACATCCAGAGAACTCTGACTTTCATGTCCAATGCAATCCAAAACAAGACTGGCACTGCGGCCAATCTGCACGTGAATTAAGTTTGAAAGGAGGGTCCGCAAGCTGACGATCGGTCTGCTGAGAGCAAGACATGGCACACAAACAAAAACGGATGCGTGGTAATTAGATTTGGAATCCGGACTCCCGGACCGAAGGAAGCCGCATCCTGCCAGGTTCCTCCCGGGGAAGACTATCGGTCCAGGCTTTTCTTCAATGCTCGCCAGAGGCCGGGTGCCCCTACTCCTGACCTGTCGTGTGCACGGTTCGTCTTCCGTCGCAGGCATAAAAAGTACTGCCAACAACTCGCCGAAGCAGAATTCTGAAGCTGTAGGAGTAGGAGCCATGCTGACATCCCTATGGGATTGCCATGGGTTGCTGTATCACACTGGTCGCTGCGCTTGAAGAGCAGGCGATGCGCCCGAAAGATGGTGCATAAGCAGCGTAGTCCGAGACTCTGTGCTAGTTCCTGAGCCTGGCAAAGCTACCGTAAGATCCACTCAGCAATACGAAGAAGGTCCATGCAGGCTGGTAGCCAGGTCATCGCAGGGGCACCAAGGAAAGCAGGCGACTCTGAAGGAAAAGACGTTGCGGTGTGCACGCTGTAGGCACTGCAAGGACTACGACAAGGAAAATGCAAGGACGCAGCACCTGAGAGCTCCCGTTCTTCGTTTTTGGAGCTACCGGGCTCACAGCTTTTGTGCCGACATTTGCATTCAAGCTCCTGGTTGCCAGAAGGCTCGTGCTACTTTGGTTTTGTGACCCGGCATCTTGTGGCCAGCATCCGGGACGAGCTTTCTAGCTGGATCGTTGCTCGAAGGCGATAGTTAGGGATAGTTGCAATAAGAGACGAACGTCGAATGCTGTGCATGCGTCCGGGCGAATTCCGTGAGATGGAATCTAGAAGCTGATTGGGATGGGGGTTTCTGCTGGCCCCACGCAGGCCGTGCCACCGAGACATGGCTTTGACGGATGCATCAGGCCAGAGGAGTTTATTTGCATAGCTTGTTTTTTGTTTGGACTATCACTTTACAGGTCGAAGCAACAGCGTGTGTTACGTAAATCTTCGAGTGCATTCTTGCCTGTGTGCGGTGATTGGGAATCGTCAGGTTTGGTCGTGTACCTGCATGACGAGAGACAGACAGACAGACAGACAGACAGACAGACAGGGCTAGAGAGAGAGATTGTAGCACTAGCATCGGAAGCGCGAACAATTTAGCAATCGTACGTGTAAACGTATCGGATAGCTTTGGAACCAGAGACATTCAGGCGCGATAGCCCGCGCGGCTATCAGTCACCTCCGAAACTCTAAGAGCCAAGGTCTCCCTGTCGAGTCCAACCGAAGAATCCAGCTGAACCTTTCAGAGATTCAGACAGGGTAGGTTATCGACGAGTTCCCTATCTCTGGCAAGGGTTTCATGATTTTCTGCCCGGAAGGTCTCGCCTTCGTGCAGGGGGTGCACGCGCCGGTGACTGCTGCAGGACATGGCACCAGCTTCCATGATTGGCCACTTGCACAATAAACATGATATCAGGACGCCTCGTCACACCTGCCGTGCAGCACCCGGAGTTCTCATCGACGCCTGCTTCCCACAACTTGGCACCTCGATGTCAGAGTACGGCAGATGGTCGAATCCCAGCCCGAAATCCCACCCCTTTAACAAGCGATAAGCGCGAAATCGCAGCCGCCCAAGCTCGCAGCATCTCACAGCGCAGCGAGGCCTCGGCGTCTGTGCTGGCAGTTGGCGCAGTGACGGCGATCGGTGCTCGAAGGCCTGATGGTGTTCTGTGATATGCGCTGTGTACGTCTGTGCACATGTGCTCATATCAGCGCATAGTTGCGCACGAGCATGGTCAAGATCATGGCACGGTAGAAGTAGAAGCACACTCCTCTCCCGGCTTGTCTCCGCAACACACGGTCTGACAGCACCACACGAGCTTGTCTCCTGATCAGCCTTGCTTCAGGCCTGAGTGCTTTTGTCATAGGTCAGTCATGCATCACCGACTGTTGTAGCATCGTGTGGTTCTTGCAAGTTCAAGAGAAAGCAACCAAACCTGCAGTTTTCCATCTGGCAGGGCTGGTGGCCGACGAGTCCGAGCACGCGGTTCGCAAGCCAAGGCGTTGCGCCCGAACTCTGTGGAGGGCAACGCCTGCGCAAGGAAGACCCAGTGCCTGCATCCCGACAAGCCCATGATGCAGCCCGGCCCATACAGAATGCTTGAGACCAATCCCCTGCTACACATTTGTGGGCAATGTAGAACCAAGTTGCAGCTTCGGTGCCAGCAACGCTGAACTAGCGGACGATCTAGCGAGATGCTGGTTAAAGATGGGTTTCTTCGCTGCCAAGTCGACGGGGGAGGTTGCTGTCATCAGTCAAATCTAGATGAGATGCAAGCCATGGGTATTATAGACTTAAAAAGACCTGCAAATGCTACAGAATTTGGGGCTCATCGCAGATTTCTCCATGATCACGCCTGACTTGTGGATCTGCGCTTGGCTTTGTGCGAGTGTACTGCTGCTACTTCTGCTGCTGCAGTGGCCACTACAGCTCGCAGCTCCTAGAATTAGTACTAGCCACTAGCCCAAGTCATGCGAGAGGGAAAAACGACGACGACGACGACGACGACGACGACGACGACGACGACGACGACGACGACGACGACGACGACTACTACTACTACTACTACTACTACTACTACTACTCGCGGAGCTGTCATCGGCGTGCCATGCGAGTGACAGAAACTACTGCCAGCCACTCCCCTTCTACCAACTACACCTGCTCCATAAGGGCTGGGCAGTGGCAGCTTCTATGCTCCCGAACTGCGACAGCTGCAGAAGTTGCAGAGGCGACTTTCCCTCGATGTCACAGCGGGTGAAGTTGCAGAGGCTCAGGCTCCAAAACTGCGACAGCAGCGGGAGTTGCAAACTCGACGGGGAAGAAACTGCTAAGCCACAGGTGGTCGGATAGTACGAAAATGCTGTAAATACCTTGCAAAACGCAGGTGCTGCTACGAAGGCCCAAAAACTTGAAGCGCGATGTCTTATAAGCATCAAAAACACAGATGCCAGCTGTACGTGGGAGGGGCTCGCCAACATCCCTAAAGCCCAGACCTCGGCGTAGGAGGGTTTGCTTTCGAAGTGGTGTGTGCGCACTAGGGTGTGGAGATATTGTTCGGGGTGTCCGCAAAACTGTGTCGTCATCATCACCCCAAAAAGCTCCCCCCACCCAGTTTCTAGTTTTCGCCCAAAGCCCTCCGAAATGCGAGACTCAGTTCGCGAAGTCCAGAAGTAAATTCGGAGACTACGCTACTCCCACTCCTGCTTCCGCTCCCACTCCCACCCCCACTCCGACTCCCACTCCCCCTCCCACTCCCACCCCCACCCCGTTGTTGGTATGATGATGACGATGATGCTGATGCTTATGGGACAGAAGTACGCCACAAAGAGCATGTAGCAGAGTGGGAAGGGTAGCGCTGCAACGGGTGGTTGTGATTCTCACGACCGCAACAAGAGAAACTAAATGCACGAACCCAGCGACTGCAACAGTTCGATGTGGCAGTGTGCTGGCAGTGTGCTACATCGGCACGCACCAGGAACTTGTTGTGAGCACCCGCATCACATGTACAATACAACTTTACTACTGTAGCTACATTTTGCATCGAAATCGTCATGCCGATCTTGTCTTATGATATCTTCATGCAAGTCTGACAGCCTTAGCACACTGCTCCGGGACGAGCACTTGCAGCTCCGATCTCAATGCTGTCCAACCGTGGAAAGTTGGGGTGTGAAAACTAGACACATGAGATATTTGAGAGGAATGCAAAGCCTTCGCAAGCAAGGCCAGGCGAACATGTAGATGTATGCTTTTCTTCTGACGGCACCTGACGACAACAAGCCTCAACGCCTGTCCCAGGTTTGCTTGCGCAGACTGCCCACGCCGCAACAGCAAGGCGGCATCCGAAGCCGACGAGCTGAGTTCTCAGCCCATGGCTGTGGCGGCGTTCGTCGGAGAGGAGGTTACTACCACGAAGGGTGCCTGTGCAGGGAAGACCCAGTGCCTCCACCCGGACAAGCCCATGATGTTTCCAGGTGATGTTGCGCAAGTGTTGTGGCGGTTGTGGTGTTTCTGCGGGTAAGACAGACTAGACATTGTTGACTTGTGTTTTTTCGGGTGAAGCTTCAGTTGTTGGATGGCTTGCCAGTGTCAGCCAGGTTTTCTTGCGCAGACTGCCCGCGCCGCAACAGCAAGGCGGCATCCGAAGCCGACGAGTTGAGTTCTGAGCCCATGGCTGTGGCGGCATTCGTCGGAGAGGAGGTTGCTACCACGAAGGGGGCCTGTGCAGGGAAGACCCAGTGCCTCCACCCGGACAAGCCCATGATGTTTCCAGGTGATGTTGCGCAAGTGTTGTGGCTGTTGTGGTGCTTCTGCGGGTACGACTCAAGACAGGCTAGGACTAGGACTGTTGACTGTTATCTTACAGGAGAAGTTTCATTTCAGTTGTTGGATTGCTGCCAGTGTCAGCCAGGTTTTCTTGCGCAGACTGCCCGCGCCGCAACAGCAAGGCGGCATCCGAAGCCGACGAGTTGAGTTCTGAGCCCATGGCTGTGGCGGCGTTCGTCGGAGAGGAGGTTGCTACCACGAAGGGGGCCTGTGCAGGGAAGACCCAGTGCCTCCACCCGGACAAGCCCATGATGTTTCCAGGTGATGTTGCGCAAGTGTTGTGGCTGTTGTGGTGCTTCTGCGGGTACGACTCAAGACAGGCTAGGACTAGGACTGTTGACTGTTATCTTACAGGAGAAGTTTCATTTCAGTTGTTGGACTGCTGCCAGTGTCAGCGAGGTTTTCTTGCGCAGACTGCCCGCGCCGCAACAGCAAGGCGGCATCCGAAGCCGACGAGTTGAGTTCTGAGCCCATGGCTGTGGCGGCGTTCGTCGGAGAGGAGGTTGCTACCACGAAGGGGGCCTGTGCAGGGAAGACCCAGTGCCTCCACCCGGACAAGCCCATGATGTTTCCCGGTGATGTTGCGCAAGTGTTGTGGCGGTTGTGGTGTTTCTGCGGGTAAGACAGACTAGACATTGTTGACTTGTGTTTTTTCGGGTGAAGCTTCAGTTGTTGGATGGCTTGCCAGTGTCAGCCAGGTTTTCTTGCGCAGACTGCCCGCGCCGCAACAGCAAGGCGGCATCCGAAGCCGACGAGTTGAGTTCTGAGCCCATGGCTGTGGCGGCATTCGTCGGAGAGGAGGTTGCTACCACGAAGGGGGCCTGTGCAGGGAAGACCCAGTGCCTCCACCCGGACAAGCCCATGATGTTTCCAGGCGATGTTCGGCAAGTGTTGTGGCTGTTGTGGTGTTTCTGCGGGTAAGACAGACTAGACATTGTTGACTTGTGTTTTTTCGGGTGAAGCTTCAGTTGTTGGATGGCTTGCCAGTGTCAGCCAGGTTTTCTTGCGCAGACTGCCCGCGCCGCAACAGCAAGGCGGCATCCGAAGCCGACGAGTTGAGTTCTGAGCCCATGGCTGTGGCGGCGTTCGTCGGAGAGGAGGTTGCTACCACGAAGGGGGCCTGTGCGGGGAAGACCCAGTGCCTCCACCCGGACAAGCCCATGATGTTTCCAGGCGATGTTCGGCAAGTGTTGTGGCTGTTGTGGTGCTTCTGCGGGTACGACTCAAGACAGGCTAGGACTAGGACTGTTGACTGTTATCTTACAGGAGAAGTTTCAATTTAGTTGTTGGATGGCTTGCCAGTGTCGGCCAGGTTTGCTTGCGCAGACTGCCCACGCCGCAACAGCAAGGCGGCATCCGAAGCCGACGAGTTGAGTTCTGAGCCCATGGCTGTGGCGGCATTCGTCGGAGAGGAGGTCGCTGCCACAAATTGTGGCTGTGCAAGGAAGACCCAGTGCCTCCATCCGGACAAGCCCATGATGTTTCCAGGTCATTTTTGGGATAGTTTTGATATGCAGTAGTCTGTTGACTGTTGGCAATCCTTTTTTCGCTGTTTGCATGTCCTCTTAGCTTGCTGCCTGTGCTGACAGCCTGAAGCAGGATTGAGATGAGGGTAGAATCGCAGAATTGATGGACATGAGTTCGGAAAATCGAAACGATCAATCATATGAATCTGAAAAGACGGAGTAGAATTCGCCAGTTATGGGCAATGAGTTGGAAACTGTAGGCAAAAAATATTTCCAGACCTTTAGGTCTCGGTTTAAAGTGTAGCAGGAGCAATGAGTAGACGCGGCAGCTCAGCTTGGGCCCCACAGCTGCGACCCTCAAACGAATCTACGAATCTAAGGACATGCGATTTAGGGATAGAAGGGATGACCATGTATGAGGCCCTTAGAGTTTGCATTCAACTTGCCTTACTGGAGATCCAGAACTACAGGACTTATGCCAGATGTCTGGTTGCTTCCTACCCAAATGCGAGTGATGAGTACTGGATAAGTCGTCCAGATTTTGCAGAAAGTCGGCCGCCCGGACTTGAAAAGCCCATCAGCTTCATTTGCGAAATGTGGTCGCAATTGCTCGGTGTCGCTTCAAACCGGGGGGTCCACCTGCGGAGGGATTGCTGGCTTTACTCGCGTGACATTCAACGGACATGGCCCTCAAGGGCCTTACACCAGCGACGGCGAAATACAAAGACACGGAACAAACAGCCTCTTCGTCGGTGCATACTCCCACTATCGACTCGTTGCTATCAGACCACTTTGTCTTCAGCCAGAAAAGTTCGACCGCTTAACTCTGTGCAAACTGAATAAATGCCCCAAGTTGCTCCCTACATCGGAGCAGAGGTCGTGCACCACTCGGGTCACAATAAGTAGCCCAGCTTTGTGCACCCGCAATGCTGAGATACGAATTTGCCCCAGTGCCCTAAGAAGGGGACACGCAGTATTAGAATACGCGGTGGACGCACGCATAAAGCCGGAAGAAAAGGGAGTAGTCCGGAAGCAAACTATGCAACTGGACGGGAAGTAAAATTCAAAAATCCATGTAATTGGGCTTGCAAGCAAATCGGGTGGAAGTTAACATCGGAAGAGTCGGAAGTGCAAGTTGGCATGGTCTTGCTGTTGATTCTTCGCATGACTTCCAATACTGCGTCGTTGCAATTCTCTCAGAATTACTGAGGTTTGCTTGCGCAGATTGCCCGCGCCGCAACAGCTGAGCGCACAACGCGGGATGTCCCAGATGGCTGCATGGTTCAACCAAGGGTCTACCATGTGGAGCCTGGTGGTTTCTACAGTATTACTTTTTATGCTAGGTTTCAAGCATCGTGGCCTATCGCAACTACGAGCTTTGAAGTTTCAATGGCGGTTCGTTGTCGAGCATTTGATGACTGCACATTGACCTCTGCGTCTCCTTGGAGTTGGTATACAAGCAGGCAATTAACACGAGTACAGCAAGGACTCGTTTGACACCTATCATGATTACCAATCTGCGCAGTGTGCAGTGCACGGCCAGAGCTTGATCATTTGCTTTTCGGTGACGTCGAAGATGTCACAACATTTCTCGCTGTGATGCGTTACAGCCTTTCGTCCTGGTCAATACCACCACGCTTCGCAAATCCAAGCCTAAGTTCAATTGGTAGGTGGGGTCTGTGCACATTGACTGGGAAATTCTCGAACACTTCGTCATCGGCAGAGGCCGACGCCGTCGTCTGGGCCCAAGCATCTAGTAGAATATCTAGTAGGCAACTGTTTTCAGCCTGAGGCTTCATGCCTTCGAGTCGCGCAGAGTAGAAAAAAGCCCACAAGGGCCTGTTCAGTTCAGAGCTGTTGAAGTGAAGAGAGGAATGGAAGCCAGGCTCCAAGTTTTGTTCTCCTTGTCTTGTGGCAGAGGCTTTTGACAAGCCCTGTACAGCTGCTTGCGGACAATCGTGTGTCCTTCAAAGAGCAAGCTCAAAGACCAAAATTGCTTCTCTCCCCCGCACCCTGCAGGATGCGCCAAAAAAGGTGCTGCTGCTCAAGTCGTGAAGTTGGTTGACATGCATCTCCGTCGCCTCACCATCGTCATGTGTCACCTTGGAACAGCAGCCACGGCTCAGCTGCCTTCGCGCCCGATAGTCTTGGACCACGCCACATCGCAGCTGCGAGTTTGGCATGGATGTCCTCGATGGCTCAGCGTGGGCCGCCACAAGCTGTACTTGGCTCCACACTGCACGAGGCATGAGTTGACAGTATAACCTGGTTAGGAAGCCGATCGGATGTCGGAGCATCACTCGACCTTGTCAAACGCAGAGAGAGAGAGAGAGAGAGAGAGAGAGAGAGAGAGAGAGAGAGAGAGAGACAGACAGTGCACCTGCGCGCGGTATAAGGGATAACACCCTTATACCATAACCCTGGCGAAAGAAAGGCAGTGCTGTAATTGAACTTGCATGTGTCGAACAAAACAGTTGAGGAACCCTGATATTTTAGAGTCCAATAATTATACTTCACCTACGTGTCAGGGGGACTCACTGTCTTGTCACGCCCTTCCACAAAGCCCCATAACACATGGGGGGCCCATGTGGCCGAAGGGCCTAGCACGCCCGCCCTTCAAGCCCAGTGGAAGAGACAGACAGACAGACAGACAGACAGACAGACAGACACACGGCCTACACCATAGCCCTGGCGAAAGAAAGAGGGGAAATTTTTGTGCTGCAGTCCCGGTCTACTTTGGGGGAAAGATGTTAGTTCCGGTCTACTCTGCAATCCTCAGTTATGCACCAGTCAAGCATAATTGGACGGGCCGCAGAGCGAAAACCACTACGTTCTTTCGGGGCGCACTTCGTCCCATTTTTAACTGCATTTTTTCAAACACGCAGCATCCTTGATAGGGATCCTCTTGCCAAATCGCTACCCTCCTGACTGGGGGAACCTTTTCGAAACCTTCCTACACTGGTGCAGACTTTTCGTAAGTTCCTAGTTGAGGAACCCGCCTGTCCTTGTGACCTGCATGTGATGGGTTTCTGTTGTTGCATCTACCTTGAAAGGCGGCGGAACCCCCGTTGCAAACACATACTGGAGCACCCGCCAGTCTTAGTCACCTGCATGCTTCGTTGTTCTCAGCTCAGCCCATACTGTGATCGTTCACTACTTGGTTGTACCCTATGCTGGTCTTGTCCTTAGTTGCTGTGTTGCTTGCAGACGGGGAACGGCTAATTACCAACCACAGGTTTTTGAGGGGGGAATGTGTCCGTTGAGGGTCTAAGGATTTGCCTGAGAGGGCGCGGTGATGAGGCCGGGAAGCGCGTTAGTGTACAGGGTCGGGGTTTTCCAACGGACATACTCTACCTGCCTCACCAACCTTCGTGTGCAAACCCGACCTTTGACCCCAAAGGCCTATTCCACCGCAAAAAGGAAAATGAGGGGGGCCTGGGCCGGGGTCCGTTTGCGGACTCATCCCCAATGGAAGGAAGGAAGACACGCGGTGGGGGTTCATCGCCACCCCAGCCTTGGCGGAAATTCAGAGACAGGCACAGACTTCTTTCACTGCCCTCCTCATTTCCTGAATGGCTACTCAAGTCAGAGCAGAGCGGGTCCTTGTCGGGGAGGAGTTAGGATTGATCCCTGGCCATTAAACCTGCAGAAAGAAAAGCGCCGTTGGATGCGCTATACTCGTTTCTCACTCCCCGTATCCCAATCAACAGTATTGGGTGGCTTGCTGTTAAGCCCGGGGACTTTGAACGGTCCCCAACCCCTTTCAGAGAGAGAGCGAGAGACACTGGCCAGCACACACTGAAAGCTGTCGATGGCGTTTGTGTGCGATCTGTCCCTTGGCACCCGTAACAGTCGGGGGCGCACGAGCGCACTGTGAGGGGCGAAACCCCTTGCACCATAGCCCTGGCGAAGCAACGAGCGGCCATAAGGGGTTTGACAAACCCCGTATGCGAGACACAAATGTAATTCCTCACCTGGCTTCCCATACAACATGGGCCCGCCTTGAGTGCGGGGGCAGGGCTGCACCCCTGCCGTCTGAAAGAAACACACAAATGTGTGCGTGTGCAGTAATTACATGTAACGCAGACAAATACACGCAGATTTGAATATGCATGTGCCGAGACAAATGCACATCCACCCACACATGCGGATTGTACAATTACACATGCATATACACGTGTCTGTGTATATTGCAATTGTGTGCGGCCAACATGTCCATTTTATCATTCACAGCATGTTGATGCCACAGGTGTTACCGCCGGTTGGGTCGAGGCTCGTTTGGCACGCAAGGACCAAGATTCCCAGGCCAGGCAGCGGTGACGAGCAGTTCCAGCGACAGTCAGTTCATAAAAAGACATAAGTGCATGTTAGTTCGATGTAGTTCGAGCTCATTCTTCCCATGACTACAGGTAGCCTCACCACTGCCCGACTTGTCAGCAGAGCTGCGGAAGAAGCATCCGGACTGGAGGCTGGACCTACATGCATACAGTGTGTGTTGGCCGCAGTTTCTGCGAGGCTTCTACGTCTAGTTCTGCATGATGACGGACCTGAGCCTCTTGGAGCGGTGGGCCGCCTACTTGTCTCAGTCGTACCAGTCGTACATTGTACGTTCCCACAGCGAAACACGTCGACAAGGCGGTAAAGTAAGGATAGTTCACGCTTGTTAATACCTTCAATGCTAACGGCTGCTGCAAACTTGCTTGTCGTGTGTATCTTGTCCAGATCGTGAGCATGAGCTCTATCCCAGGCTTGAAGATCTTCCATCTTAGTGTGGGGCCCTCTCCTCCTCCTTGTCGGTATCGTGTTCCGGAGATTGGGGAGCACTCGAAGATAAAACGAAACCTAATATTGCAACACGAATACGATAGTATGGTCAGGTGCCATGAATCAAAGCCGACCGCCCCCTTCCCAGAAGCGCTTCCCGGTGAATTTCTTCTCTGTGGAGCCGCGGCCACTTCTCTACGAAAGCCAGGCAGGGATGATTGGTCTGGGTGATGAGCTGATGATGCAGGGAGTGGTGCTACTGAGCTAAAGTTTCGCCCCTGGTCCGTGCGCCAGGAGGTTTCCGTGTCCTTAGCGACCGAAGAAGATCGAAGTGCGTGGCAGCACCTCTACGTGGAGTACCGGGCATCTCAGAGTCTCTGCAGAAAAGATTCCCGGAGTTTTGGCTCTTGGACGAAAGCTGACGGTTGCAGAGCCGGGATGCCATTGCTCAGGATTCCACCGGGAACAATGCCCTACGAATCTGACGAGGTTGCTGCTGATGCTGTGTCCGACTTAGATCCCCTTAGATCCTCACTGCTTCGTCTTTTGCTCCAGAGTCACATGACGATGGAGAACTCTGCAGTGGATTGTGCATCTGATGCTCCTGGAAGCAGAAGACGGCTCAGGTGTGGGGAATGAGCTTGCGTGGGCGGAAGCTTGATGCAGGGAGCCTTGGCACATTTGGAACTGATGAGTCGAGGGTTGAAGTTTTCTCGAGGGATGGCCGAACTGCTTCGCAAAAACACACACAACTCCTAATTACCCGGCGTTGATTCCCTGAAACCAAGCAGTATTGTTCGAGGACGGCCGACATCTTGATAGCCCGTGGTCAAGACGGCACCGTGTTGGGGGCGGCGACGGTGGCTCGGCTACCAGCTTTGGACGGTGCAGGCCGAGGGAAGGGGGGGGGGGGGGGGGGGGGTCATCAAGACAGCAGACAATCAAAGATTGCTGCCCAAGCGCCTGGAGAAGCCTGCAGGTGCCGGTGCGCCGCGTGGCTTCCTGGGTGACCTTTTCGTCTCGCCCAAGGCCCACGGCGGCTTGATTTCATCTCAGGCCCATCGCAGCAACATCTGACAAAAGAGTGCCAATTCAAAGCATGCCGTCGGTGCGAATTCTGAGGTAAAGGTGTCGGACGGGCAGCTTGGCAACTTCTCATCCGTGCCTGTGCCTTTTGCTGAAAACACCCGATGTGCTGCGCTGTGCTCGCCGAGGCTCTCATGGCACAGGTCATGGCAACGTGCAAGGATGCGGGTTTCTCGCAGCTGTGCTGGTATTGCATCCAGAGCAACGAGAAAGCCGTGCGCTCAAAAGCCTCGAGCGGCGTTGCAAATCGCATGTTGCGAGTCACCCCGATCACGGGTCTTTTCCCAGTGCAAGCGAGGCCATGTCATTCTACCGTAACCTTGGCTTCGTGCCGACGGCTGCTACTGTCTGGCAGTATCCGGATGATGCGCCAAGTGCACCAAGCTGAAAGACTTTGAAACTCACAACTTCTGCTTGCAAGAAGTCACAGCAGTCTGCGCATGGACACGCAGATAAACCGCTCGCTTTCCACTGTGATAGCCTGAGGCTCTAGCCTGAGGTCTGAAATCTCACATTGACAGAAGTCCCCACGCAACATAGCCGTGGCTTTAAGCGTTCAGAAGCTTGTCGGAGCTTAACCAAGAAAGACTATCAAGCAGCCCCTCTCTCTCTCTCTAGCAGCTCTACAGCCCATTCGATTCAAGTCTCCCGCAACCCTGTTTCTTTGCACGTAAATGGCATCTTTCTCCAAGACATCCTCGAAGGCAGCCAGCAGTGCAGTAGTTCATCCTTGCAGCCGGAGATCTGTCGAAGGGCCCTGGCCTGCGCAGGCGGGCTCTGGAGTGGGTGGTGGAGGATGGTCGAAGGCAAAGCATCAATCTGCGGGTGGAGGCGCGGACTGAACTTCCAAACCTGCCCCAGCCCCAGCCCTCTAAAGACTCTAGATGCTCTAGTTAGAACAGAACATAACGATAGAATAGAGTAACATATAGTATAATTCAAAAAATCATATCATGTTATGGTTTTGATATAATATGCATGTCAGCACGTTTTGACGAGCTCAGGCGGCTCCACCCTCGAAAGGATCCAGCAAATCGAGTTGGAGATCTCGCGCACGCAGAAGAACAAGGCCAGGAGCCAAAAGTCGGGAGCTCGAAGGCCAAAAGGCCGCCGTTTGTTACTATAGGGGCCTTAAGAATTAACAATACTATTTTGGGGGTTCCTGAGTGTCAAAGTATAATAGGTCCCAAAAAAGCCTATTCTAATTATTAAGGTCCCTATGTTACGCAACCGAGACCTGGCCAGGCGACCGCGAAGCATCTTGGAGAGCGACTCGCCAACTGTTGAGTGTGCAGTACCCTAGGGCTCCATAGTAGTTCCTTTTTGGGGTTCATATATAGAATCCTATAAGGCAATCCCAAAAAGGAACTACTATAGAGCCTATGGGTAGCTGTGTGTGCAGCTCTCTATATTTGGGGACGCTTTGATGGTGATTCGTTTTTGGCCCTTACAAGCTGTTCGAGCAGGATCAATTTTTCCATCAGTGCTTACCTTGTGCATTCTTGCTTGCCTTGTGCGAGCCGTGAGAGTGGAAACATAGGGTGGTTGTCAAAACTAGGGTCCCTCTTTGGGTCCTTATTATCATACGGCACCGAATATTTAGGGTACCCAAAAAGGGACCCTATTTTTGACAACCACCCATAATACGTGTGTATTTAGAAGAGCGAGGCGCCGCCCAGTAAACACCGCGTCTGGCCTCACAAGTAGCGGTCGTGGATCATGTAAAGCAAGCATTTCTGTGCGCAAGTCTTTGTCCGAGTCGGCCGATTTCGCGCGACGTGTTTGCACACTTCCTGTCTTCTTGCTGTCGTTTTGTCTCTCATTCCCACTATAGCTTCCGGGGCGTCCTAGATCTAAATGCAGCAGTGTTTCCACCTCCGAATGCACAGCAGCGAGTTGAAGCCCAAAGCACAGAGGTTGAAGGCGAAGCTTTGCAAGCTCAAGCGTGACATCCTGGAACCTTCTGGTGGCGGCGGTGGCAAAGTAGCCGGATTCGAGGCGCGTGGGCAGACGACTACAAGTAGCAGCTCCCCATTCGACTCCACTGCCAGGTGCAAAGAATCGGAGATGCCCGGGTGGGCCTCGTAGGATTTCCATCTGTGGGAAAATCCTCCCTGCTCACGGCGCTTACCGGTGTCCAGCCAAGGGCTGAGTCGATCCGTGACATGAACACGCACAGGTGCCGTGTGCAATCTTGCTGACTGCGGCGACGAGTCGTCTAGTCTTACCTCTGTCTTGATGCAAAGGTTACTCTGCTGGACTCTTGGGCTTTCTGCTTCAGGGTTTCTGCGTTTTGTGTAACTCCGTGGAATGCCCAAACACGTATTTCATTGTATTTCTCCAAGCTTCTGGTATGTTCTTGGTTTGCGTCGTTGTAGTTGTACTGTAGGTGCAGGAAGAGGAGCAAGAAGAAGGACTGCACAGTTAAGTCACGGCTACATCTGACTACAGAGCTAGATCCAGGCGACTTTTGCAGCGTGTGGTAAGCTCTCTGGGATTTCATGGCAAGGTCGGAGGCTGCCGCATATGAGCTGGAGCCCCTGAAGTTTAAGACGCTGACTGAGCTTCTGCTGTGCCCGGTGGGTCTTGGAACTCAAGGTTCACGACGCTGACTTGCATCCCGGGTGTGATCTACTACAACGACGACAGAAGCCCAGCTTCCCTCCCTGCCTGGCACAAAAGGGGCCCTTTTTTATCGAAGCATCTCCGGAGGTTCGAATCCAGCTTCTCGACCTTCCGGGCCTCATCGTGGGCTGGGGCCTCAGCTTCGCGTCGAGGGCTACTGTAGACTTCTTGGAAGGGCAGGGGACTTAGTAAGTAGGTTATAAGTAGGGTTATAATTGGGGTAACTCCATTTAGGGTACTTATAACTCTACTTATATCCTACTAAGTCCCCTGCCCTTCCAAGTTTGATGGTGCTCGAGACTTGGAGCCGGAGGTGCATCCATCGGCAAAGGCCGGGGACGGCAAGTAATTGCACCTCGGACAGCTCAGCAAGCCGTTACTTGTTCTTTCTCTTTGCAGAAGGCTGTTTCGAGGCTGAGTGCATGCAGTATTGAGAAATGCCAATGCCACGAGGCCACGGCAAAGTCATGCGATATTATCCTCATGGCAGCCCCGACGGGATTAGTGCGAAGTTCGCTTGCAAACGAAGCCGCACGCGCGGGGGCAGATGGCTTGACCAGGTTCTAGATGCCACGAAGGATGACGCACAGAAGGAGATGCTTACGAAGGACTTGTTGCAACGGCTCGCTGATGCAGAAGTTGAGGCTTCGCTTTTTGAGCCTTGCGCGAGGAGTTGGAAAATGTTGGCATTCGGTTAAACAGAAAGCCTCCCGACGTGACCGTAAGACCGACCAAAGGAGGAGGCATCAAGTGCTGCTGCTCGACTCCTGTCGAGTTCGTGGATATTCTTGGATCTGATGCAGGTCTGAAATTTCAAGCGACGGTGCCGCTGACCCATTTCGACGAAGAGGTTTGCGCAACTATTTTGAGACAGAATCCTGGCGGATCAGTAGTTATAGCGCAGACTTGGCTCTTCGCAATTACGTGGTTTCATGTCTCGACCAACTGGCCACTTGTTAACGGATTTTTTTTAAATCCGTCCGTGTTTCGGCGCCGCCCGGCTCTCGCAGTCCCTGTGCTCCACAACGGGATACAGGCCCGGCTCAAGCGGGTGTCTGTGGAGGAGAGGGCCCGAGCATCATGTGCATCAGCGGGTCTCTGCGGGCGGCAAGCGCCGAGCATCATGCGCATCAGCGGGTCCTTAGGGGGCTGGAAATCGAGTTCAACCCAAGTCCAACGAAATTTAATTTCGTTGGACTTGCTTGAACCTTGCGGCAATGTTCGCTCTGGGGGCAAAAACAAAGCGAAACAACGAGAGCGAGAGGCAGCGAGACAGAGGGAGAGTCCCAGTGCATGCTTGTTGATGTGATGAGGTCCTAGAAAGATCCTGAGCGACATGTGCTTTGGATTTTGTATTCAATCAAGACTTAAACTGTCATGTGGCAGACAGCACTGGAAACAGTTCGGTGACTTTTTTTGATTCCTAGACTCTAAACATGACATGGAACTTTGACCTCATTGAAATATTTTGTTTTCAAGCCAAGGATTTGTTTCTTTGTCGTCAGAGACCAAAACTTGAATTATCGTGCGGCAACAGTTTCTCGATCAGACACCTTTTCAATACATTGTACTTAGCAACATCACATGGCGCAGACAAATCAACTCATTTGCCACTTGCTTGTTCTTAGTTTCCGTATGTGGTCCTACACCTGCACACATGCACATGCATGCCATGTAGAAATAAAAGGCCTTGACGTAAAGACCACACATTACTAGTGTAGTGTTGCATCCTGAGTGTTCGAGTAACTGGTCGTGTCTTAGCGATATTATAAATAGTTGGGACCTCGTAACTACTGTCAAGTTACGTAGTTGTAGACTCCGGAACCCCATAAGCCCTAAAGCCTGTAATGCCCTTCTAGCCTTAAGGCCCCTACATCCCGAACCCCGTGTCTTTTCAGGGCCCTGCAGGCAAGCTCGGGAACAAGGTCGCGGAGCTAATGTGCCGTGACGGCGCAGACGACGACGAATGCGCCGTGAGGGCGCAGACGACGAGACGCGACGACCAAAATGCGCCGTGATGGCGCAGGAGAAGTTTGAGTAAGAGCAGGCGTGTTAGAACCCGAAAGAGGTGAACTATGCCTGCCGAAAGGCAAAGTCAAATGTGCCGTGATGGCGCAGACGACGACGAATGTGTGCCGTGAGGGCGCAGATCAAACAATTGGGAGAAGCTTGAGTAAGAGCATCGTGCGTTAGGACCCGAAAGATGTGCCGTGATGCCGCAGGAGCGAGTCGATGTGCCGTGATGGCGCAGATCGAATATCGATGTGCCGTGATGGCGCGCATCAAACAATTGGGAGAACTTTGAGTAAGAGCAGCAGCGTGCGAGGACCCGAAAGATGTGCCGTGATGGCGCAGACGACACAGACGACGAGTGCGCCGTGATCGACGGTGCAGAAGACGACGACAGCCGACGACGCAAGATTGTAGGAGTCCAGATTAGGAGCCTAGCAAGATCGTTCCGAAGTTGCCTGCAGGCCGCAGACGCCCAACAGCATGACTTTTCGGGGCGTCGCTATATAGTCGCCGGCAAGTCAGAAGCTTCTAAGCAACGTGTCGTCTAATTGGAAGCATGCAACCAGCTCCATTGTTTCGACTTAGCCGGGCGAGAATCCTTGGGACCAGGGGAAAGCCGCATCAGTGAAACATGACAGGCAGAGGTTTGCATTCAATTGTTTTATTCCTGGGTTACGCCACCGAGACAGCTGCGCAATCAAGTGCTTAATGGCAGGAGATCTTCTCATCCTCCTCGTTCGAATTGCTTGG